AGAGACACTCAAAAACAAGGCCAAGACTTCCTGTCCCCAGCCCCCTCCCTCGAGGGACCTCAGAGCACCAGGGAGCTCTGGTGACTGTCCCCACCCCAGAATTCTGTCCACATCTGTGTTCTTTCCTTGGCCTCCCTCAGAGAACTATTTGTGTCCCTGGCTTATGGGCAGTCAGACTGCCTCAGGTGTCCTCCCTTCTGGAAGCTTCCATCTCCTCCACCACGCACACTGCTTCCTCCAGGGAGCATCAAAGCCACACTGCAAAGACACAGCCAGGCCTCCGCCCCACGGCCCACCCGAGCCAACAGAAACAGGCCTTCCTGCTCTTCTCATTCTAGAAAATGGAGAGAAATGCTCTTCAGAGAAGCAAATGACAGGGGAGGCCCCCTATAAAGACAGGTCAGCCATGGGGCTGCAGGCAGAGCTGGCTTGGGTCCCCACTGGGTGATCTGGCAAATGAACTCCTCTGAGCCCCCGGTCCCTATCCTGTAAATAGAGATGATACCAGAATGCCTGCTGTATGGCTCCCGTGGTAAGCAGTAAGTGAGGTAGTTTAATCCTGAACTTAGAGGGTACGCTGCAGGAAAGGGTTCAACAGGCCACAGATCTCTTTGTCTGTGTGCGGATTCAGGGTCTCCCTCATGGACAACTCAGGCTCTGGGGTCAGACATCCAGGTTTGAATCCAGCCCCGCCACTGACCAGCTTTGTGTGCCTTTAGCGACTAACTCAGCCTGCCTGGCCCTCCAGCTCCTCTTGGCGATGAGACCCAGTGACAGTCCCACATCCGAGGGCCAGTAGGAGGACTGCATGAGGGGCCAGCATAGCATTTAACACAGCAACCGGCATGGAGTAAGCGCTCAGCGGTTCTTTCGTTATTTTTATTCCACACCAATCACAAGCACAAGGCTCTCCTCTTTTGTTCTGGAGCCACAAGTTCCTTGGCCTCCAGGCCCCTGAAAGAGCCAGGTGGAGGGGCTGCCAGCGCAGGAACCCTCAGAGACTGTTTCATCAACCACACCTCCTGACCAAATCAACATCACCTGTGGGACACTTGGCACCACTGTGTCACCCACCAGGAACCGGCTCCTTAGGTCAGGTCAGGAAACTGTGCCTGCGAGTGAGTTCCCAGAACAGGAGAACATTTCCCTGAAGCTCTGCCCCCTGGGCACAGGTGCTCTGCGAGGTGAAAGGGGATGCAAGCTGCGGGTGCACAGCGTCTCTGGCTGAGGCCCCGGGTGGGAGATCAAACGCTTGGAGCAGGCGCAGCCACAGCTGGGGTAAGGCTAGAGCGTGGAGAAACCTGCTCAAGAGAAGGTAAGTGACTGTCCCAGGGTCACGGGGCAGCCAGTGCTCGGCCACATCACAGGATTCTGTGTCATTGCTTTGCTACCTTTCTGCAGGCCAGAATTCTGAGGGATCTTCCTTTGCATGCGTGTGCCATTTTCATCACTTTTGAAAAGGCATATACATGTTTTTTTTGTTTTTTTGAGGCAAGGGCTCATTCTGTTGCCCAGGCTGGAGTGTAGTGGTACAATCATGGCTCACTGCAGCCTTGACCTCCTCCCAGGCTCAAGCAATCCTCCCAACCTCAGCCTGCCTCAGCTGGGACTATGGGTGTGCAGCACCATGCCTGGGTAATTTTTCTGTGTTATTTTTTTACAGAGACAGGGTCTCCCTATGCTGCCCAGGCTGGTAGTGGAACTCCTGGGCTCAAGGGATCCTCTTGCCTCAGCCTCTCAAAGTGCTGAGATTACAGGCATGAGCCACTATCCCTGGCTTAAAAAGGCATCTTTTTGTTTTGTTTTGTTTTTGAGATGGCGTCTTGCTCTGTCACCCAGGCTGGAGTGTAGTGGCGAAATCTCAGCTCACTGCAACCTCCACCTCCTGGGCTCAAGGGATCCTCCTGCCTCAGCCTCCTGAGTATCTGGGACTACAGGAACATGCCACCAGGCCCAGCTAATTTTTGTATTTTCAATACAGACAGGTCACCATATTGACCAGGCTGGTCTTGAACTCCTGGCCTCAAGTGATCCACCCGCCTCAGCCTCCCAAAGTGAAAAGACATCATTTATATACCTTACGTCTGACCATTTTTTTCCTGAACTTTTTACTCAGATGATTTTTTTGATTGAGATGACATTCACATAACATACAATTACCACTTTGAAGTGCACAATTCAGTGGCATTTAGTGCATTCCAAATGTTGTGCAATCATCAGCTCTCTCTAGTTTCAAAACTTTTTTTTATCACCCCATAAAAACACCTCATACCTATTAAGGAAGCACTCTCCATTCCCTCTCCCTCCCTCAAACCCCTAATAACCTCTAATCTGCTTTCTGTCTGTCTGGATTTGCCCCTCCCCTTCCCTCCCCTCCCCTCCCCTCCCCTCCCCCTCCCCCTCCCTCCCCTCCTCTCCCCTTCTCTCCCCTCCTCTCTCCTCCTCTCCCCTCCGTTTCCTTTCCTTTCCTTTCTCTCTCTCTCTTTCTTTCTTTCTTTTCTTTTTGTTCTTTCTTTTCTTTCTTCTTTCTTTCTTTCCTCTTCCTTTCTTTCTTTCCTCTTTTATTCTGGTTATAGTGTATAAAAGAAATCATCATACAATATGCAGTCTTTTGTGAGCAGCTTCCTTCACTTAGCGTGATGTTTTCAATGTTCACCTACTTGTAGCATGCATCGGTATTTCATTCCTTTTTGTAAGTGCGTAACAGTCCATCATGTGGATCTATCACATTTGTCTATCCATTCATTCACTGATGGACATTTGGATCATTTTATCTTTTTTAAACATACAGAAGAGTTTAAAGAATAATATAACGAACACTCATTTTCTCACTACCCAGATTCAGCCACGGGGCCAGGACTAAGGTGAGACCAGTAAAGTGCCGCCAGCACTGCATTGAAGGAGGCACTCACTCTTGGGGCCTGCAAGGGGCAGGGTGGACCCTGCAAGGCCATAGCTGAGGCACCTCGCTGGCCTGAACATAGCCCCAGGCCCTGTTCAACTGAACATAGCCCCAGGCCCTGTTCAACAATTTTCATATGTTGCCATCCTGCCTTTATTTAGTTCTATGAACATTTGTTTTGCTGAACCATTTGAAGATAGGTTACAGAGCACACAAGGCTTCATCCTCAGTTCCTTGAGTCTCTTTTTTATAAAAAACTTTGTTCCTAATGTGTTCCTATTTATTATTTACTCTTCTGTGGAAGAACAGAAAAATGTTCCCCTACATAGCCATGGACCCATTCTCAAGCATGACCACATCAACCATAATTCTGTATAGTCTCTGCCTCCAGTCCATATTCACATTTCCTGATTCTCCCAAATAAGTCTTTCATAAGTTTTTTGTTTGGTTGGTTGGTTAACTGTTTTGTTTTATTTATTTATTTATTTATTTATTTATTTATTTATTTATGAGACGGAGTTTTGCTCTTGTTGCCCAGGCTGGAGTGCAATGGCGCGATCTCAGCTCACAGCAACCTCCACCTCCCTGGTTCAAGGGATCCTCCCACCTCAGCCTCCCAAGTAGCTGGGATTATAGGCACATGCCAACATGACTGGCTAATTTTTGTACTTTTGGTAGAGATGGGGTGTCACAATGTTGGCCAGGCTGTTCTTGACCTCCTGACCTCAAGTGATCTGCCTGCCTCGGCCTCCCAAAGTGCTGGCATTACAGACTCATGAGCCACTGCGTCTGGCCTTGTTTATTATTTTCACCAGGTCTTATGTCATTTCCCACAGCATTTGTGGACTTGGGGCCTCTTTTATGCTAAAATATCCTCAAATTTTATCTCCAGACTATTGACTTTTTGAAGAGTCCAAAACTTACAGTCTTATAGAATGGCCCACACCGTGGATTTGCCTTATTGTTTTCTTTTTCTTTTTTTAAAATAAATTATTTTTGTATTTGTTTAAATAAAATTTTTTGTACACTTTTGTAGAGTTTTTTAAAATAAAAATTTGTTTGGTGGGTGCGTGTTTTGAATGCACTAAATGCCGCTGAATTGCACACTTTAAAATGGTGAATTGTATGTTATGTGAATGTCATCTTTTTTGTCAATTTTTCTTCTTTTTTTTTAATAAAAATATTTTGTCCTACTGTGTTGCCCATGGTAGTGTCAATCTCCTGGCCTCCAGCCATCCTCCAGCCTCAACCTCCCAAAGTACTGGGATTACAGGTCCAGCCCGATTATTTTTTCTTGTTGTCATTAAACTTGTTCCTCCATACCCTGTAAATCCTGTGATCTGAAAGTCGGCACTAATGCCTTAATTATATCAGGCTAAACAGTTTGGCAAAAATACTCCATAGGTGATACTGTCTTCTCATCACCTTATATCAGGAGGCCTGAGATGTCAGCTTGAGCAACTAACAAAGGATACTAAGTCTGAGCATGTGGCTAAACGTATGACCATCATCTTTCCCTATTATAATGGTACATTTTCCCCTTTGTACTTAGTAAGTAATCTGGGGGAAGATTTTTTGCAGCTGCACAAATATCCTGTTCCTTAATAATCGTTCACCCAGTGGTATTTAACATCTATTGATGATCCTGCCTGAATCAAGAGTTACGTTGGAGGTTGCAAAATGGTGGCTTTCTGTCTCATTCCTTCTACACGTATCAGGTGGCGTTCTTTTGCAAAGAACTTTCCTCCTGCCTACTTCTCTCCCCCAACCCCCAACCAACACACACACACACACACACACACACACACACACAAAATGAACTCATGAATTTTCTATTTGTTTAATGTATTTTAATTAACTACAGTCATTCTTTTTTTGTTTTGTTTTGTTTTGAGACGGCGTCTCACTCTGTCGCCAGGCTGGAGTGCAGTGGCGCGATACCGGCTCACTGCAAACTCCCCCTCACGGGTTCAAGTGATTCTCCTGCCTCCGCCTCCCCAAGCAGCTAGGACTAGAGGGCTCATCACCATATCCGGCTAAGTTTTGCATTTTTAGTAGAGACGGGGTTTCACCATGTTGGCCAGGAAGGTCTTGATCTCTTGACCTCGTGATCCGCCCACCTTGACCTCCCAAAGTGCTGGGATTACAGGCATGAGCCACCACACCTGGCCCCCTTACACTCATTCTTTCTGATGCTCAGTAGTCCCGAACTTAGCCAGGCAGATCCCTCAAGTCAGCTTCCGCATCCTTTCCTTGTGACCTCAGTAGTTTTTAAACATATCTTTCCTTCTTGGGACCATAAGACCTCCCAGGCTTAACATGGAGCTTCATTTCCATGGATCTGGAGTCAGCCATTTCTGCAGAAAATTTTAGTTCCTTCTGGTGGGTAACAGCATTTAGAAATCAAGATCTGGGTACTAGGTGGTCTCTCTGCTCCTGGGCTGTTACTGCACCAAGGCTTTTTCAGTGGACAGAGCTAGGAAAAATAAAATGAGCTCATAATTATATAATCTGTTCAAATTTAACATCCCGGGTGGGTTTTTTTTTAATTCATTTTCTTAAAACTGTAATACTTGAGTCTCTGTTTCATAGAGAATCTTGTTTCCTAATATATTCTTATCTACTAGTTTCTTTATTTTTTAATATACATAAACTTCCTTCAAAATTACCATGTTATCATTACTATTTACCATAAACCTACTAGGTAAAGCTTAAGACATCATTGTAGTTTTATTTGTCCTTAAAATATATCCCACCACAGATTTACAGTTAGGGTATTTTTTTCAAAATTATTTGAATAGGTTTTTGGTCATGTGCGTGCGTGTGTGTGTGTGTGTGTGTGTGTGTGTGTTGGTGTTTTTGTTTGTTTGTTTTGCTCTGTGGTTAAGCTCTCTAATTCACAATTAGGTTTATTTGTTTCTCTTTGTGCACAATTTGGGGAGGGTTTTTCCTATTTTTTAAATTTAATTTGATTTAATTTTTTGAACATGTAAATCATGTACAAATTATGTGCAAATGATTCAAAACACAAAACTATATTTAAAATCCTATTTGGAGACATTTCATTCCCATGCCAAGTCCCTCTCGTCCTCCTCCATTAGTTTCCAGTTTATTCTTCCTGTATTCCTTTACATGTGTGTTATTCATGTGAGTACATACATAAATACATACCATTGTTGCCTCTTCTTTCTTTCGGAATTCATGTGAAGGGTGTAGATGGGAACCTGCAGTCCTGGAAGGAAAATAATTTTAAATGAGACAAAGGTGCTTTTGAATCTTAGCTCCACTCCCTGCTAATTGTGTGACTTGAAGTAATCACACAGCCTCTGAGTCTCAGTTTTCCTATGTGTGAAACGGGATAAAAACACTTACCTTGTATGATTTGGTCTGTGATTAAGATCTTTCTGGCATTGTACAAAAGGTAAATTCTAGAACAAGGAGCAAAATACGCAAAACAAAGTAGAAGAATATTTTTTAATATTTTTTCAAAATTTTAAACCTTCCTGTACAAGACATGAGCCCAGGATTCACAAGTAGAAAGCAATTTTGGCTACTCTGACTATGGAGTAGCCATTCCTTTGCTTTCTTAAAAAACTTGCTTTCACTTTACAGAAGAAAAAAAAAGAAAAGAAAAAAGTGACTTCATAACGATGTAAAACATCTCTATGATAAAGGACACTGTAGTCAATGTTAAAACATAAGAAATAGACAAGGTGAAAATGTTGGCAACATATTTAAAACACATCAGGCCCAATCACTTTGAAAAACTGCTTGGCAGTTTCTAATAAAGCTTAAACATATACCTGTGACCCAGTTATTCAGCTCCTAGGTATTAACTCAAGAGAAATGAGAACATATGTTTACACAAAGACTTGTATAAAAATGTTCATAGCAACTTTATTCACAATAGCCCCAAACTGGAAACGACTCATATGTCCATCAATGAGAGAATGAATAACCAATGCATGGATTGTCTATACAATGAAATACTACTCAGCAATTAAAACGGACCAACGGAAGACACACGAATCTCAGGAAAATATATGTGGAGCAAAGAAGCCAGACATGAAAGAATTTACCTGTATGACTCCATTATATGAAGTACAGGAAGAAACAAATGTAATCACTGGTGATAGAAATCAGAATAATGGTTGCCCTTGGGTATTGACTGGAAAGGAGCCAAGGGAACTTTCAGGAGCAATGGAGATGTTTTATGTCTTGATGAGGGCAATGATTACACAAGTTATACATTTGTCAGAATTCTTCAAACTGCACACTTGAGACCTGCATATTTTGCTATGTGAAAAGTGCATCTCAATTAAAAGGACAATAAATTAAAAGAACATGTACAAAGAGCTCCTAAAATATCAATAAGAAGAGGATAATAAGTATCCTAGAAAAATGTGCAAAGACTATGAACAAACAACTCATTAATAACGAAACATGCACATCCAACAAACAAATGAAGAAAGATGTTCAGCTTCACAAGTAAGCGGGGAAACGCATGCTCAAACATTAAGCTTTTATTTTTACCTATCAGGTGGGCAAAAGTTAAAAAAGATTAATAACATCAAATGCTGACAAGAAATCAGAGAAACAATAACTTTCATGTACCATCAGTTGGTGGAAGCTATTGAAAGGCAATTTGGCAGTGCCTATCAAAATTTAAAACTGCATGCCCTTTGATACTGCAATCTGACTTCTAGAAACCTATACAAAAGAAAGGTTATTTAAACTTACAGAATGAAGTGGATCTATATGCACCAATATAAAAGGACCTATAACTAAGTGAACAAAAGTAAAATGCAGAATAATATATAGCATAGCACAATCCCATGTATATTATTATAAAACCTAAGTGTATACAACTACATACATACCTACATAACTATTCAGAGAGTGCACAGGAAAAATGTACCTTAGGTATTGATAGGGTTACTTTGGGGGCGGGGGGATGTGAGGGTGTTTGGTAAAGCAGAGGTTTCTCATATTGTATTGTATATTTTTAGTATTGCTTTGATTAAGTTGGTGCACATGTAATTGCAGTTTTTGCCATTACTTTTCATGGCAAGAGTTGAGCACACAATATTACTTTTAATAGCAAAAGTTGAGCTCACAGTATTACTTTTAATGGAAAAAATCGCAATTACATTTGCACCAGTTTAATACAGTAAGAGTGTTCCAGCTGAGCACAGGGGTTTACAACCGTAATCCCAGCACTTTGGGAGGCTGAAGCAGGCAGGTCACTCGAGCCCAGGACTTTGAGACCAGCCTGGGCAACTTGGCAAGACCCCATCTCTACAAAAAACTGAAAAATTAGCTGGGAATGGTGTCCCGAGTCACCACTGTAGTCTCAACTACTCAGGAGGCTGAAGTGGGAGGATTGCTTGAGCCCAGGAGGTCAAGGCTGCATTAAGCCAAAACTGTACCACTGCACCCTGCCTGGATGACAGAGGGAGAATCCAGCCTCAAAAATCCAGCCTCAAAAAAAATAAAATAAAATAAGTGTTCCTGTATTCTTGGTGTAATTTAAAAAAAAAAAAAAAAAGGTTTTCAGCAGTCTCTAATGCTAAAGATTTGTTAAGGAATCATTTAACACATGTTTAGCCCTTAATAGATGTCCAGCATCATGGGAGGGGGTAAAGGAACCTAAAGAAGTGGGTCCCGTTCAAATCCCTGTACATTTACCTCACAATGATCATGAGATATGAATCATTCTACATACAGTCACTGCTGTCATCCATCATGCACTTGAAAACAGTTGACAAACATTTAAGTGCATGAGGATAGGGTCTCACTCTGTTACCTAGGCTAGAGAGCAGTGGTACAATCATGGCTCACTGCAGCCTTGACCTCCTGGTTGCAAGCGATCCCCCTGTCTTGGTTTCCCAAAGCCAAGGCATGAGCCACCATGCCTGAGCATGAGCCACTATGCCCTGCCCATTCAAATGCATTCTTATGTGTGTGGCAGGGATAGGGAATCGTTTCCTAAAATTAGTAAATAACGTGGGTTAACCCCTTATCCAGAACCCTAGAAGCTGATATGTGCTGAAGATCAGAAATATGATGTTAGTAGGTGCCACTGTGCAAAATCTGTATGTTACACAATATTCCTAACGTTCTGGGGAAGCAGCTTGCAATCAACACACAACATTTCCACAGCAAAATGCATGAATATTTCTACTGAATATAAACATTACAAATAGTCACAGGTCAGTTCAGCTCCAGTTCTGCTGCCACATGAGTTTGTGCCAAACTGACGAAATAAACTTTTGGTTTTGAGAGCTCTTGGGATCTCAGAATTATAGATAAGGGCAAGATCCCTCACTAGACCTTTCCTTTTAAAAGCCATTTCTGATTACATAACGCTCTTTGATTTCAGTCTGTCCTGTCATAGTTGAGCACACAGTGGATGAACCCAAGTTAAGAGAGCAGAGCGTTGCTGTCCCAGAGGCCTGGCCTTAGTCACGTGGAGTGATTTCCATCTTTGGACCAACTGTATTATCAATAGGAAAGCTAATTGAGAGCATGGGCTGGGTAAGATGGGACCTTGGGAAAGGATATCACACCAGGGTCGGTGTATGCCGAGTGCAAAACGTGGCTTTTGGTAGCCAGGTAAATGCCTTTTGTAGGGATGGATACACTCGCTGCTGTCAGCCAGCTCTGGCTGCTTCTACCTGGATTTAAAGAACCCCATCGGGCTGGCTTGATGAATCCCTAAATTAAAAACACCTGAGTGCCTGGTACCTGAGGTCTGTTTTGCACATACAAGAAGCATGGGAAAAGGTGTGTGCTTGACATACGCTCCTGGACTCCAAAGTAGAAGACTAGGCAGGAAGACGAGGTCAGAGGTCATTTGCACTTCCCTGCCAGCCAGGTGGATGCAATCCGCCTATTTCCACAGGGGACCTGGTTTGAGGATTTGAGGGAAGTTCCGATCACCAGCATTTGGCCTCTTTCTGTTTTTGTCTCGCTTCCAGGAACTGATGCAGGAAGCACACTATGACATGGTCACATGCAGACACACGCGGTGCAGGATAGACTAACCCGGAGCTCCGCTGAAACCCTGGCTCCCGGCCGACCAGCCGTGGCCAGTGACTGTGTGCAGTCTCCGATCTTCATTTGTGCGTTGATGTGGGGAAATTCAAAGTCAGCATATGAAAGTCAGCTCTAGGGCATCAGGGTCTAATGCGCAAAATTTTGCAAAATTTTGCAACATTTCACACGAGAGGGGGGTTTGAGTTGACGCTACCCACGTGGGTGGCGGCCTGGGTTGGTGGTGCCCCCTGCTGAATGATAAAAGCAAATGCAACTCTTCTCTGGAGAGAAGTGTTCTGTCTGATTTATCAACGAGAACAAACAAACAAAACACTCGAGGGCCGGGTGCGGTGGCTCACGCCTGTAATCCCAGCACTTTGGGAGGCGGAGGCGGGCGGATCACGAGGTCACGAGTTCGAGACCAAGCAATGAGTCACCATGAGCAAGAGTCTGCAGAGCCAACAAGCAACAGATTGAAACCAGGCTGTCTTAACCTAAATGCTATAAACATTTCGGACCAAAATCCTTTACTGTGGGAATGTTTAGCAGCAACCCTGGTCTCTACCCACAAGATGCCAGTAGCAGTCCCCACTGCCACCCCCAGTCATTACAACCAAAATTGTCTCTAGACATTGCCAAATGTCCTCTAGAGGAAAAAACTGCCCCCAGTTGAAAAACACTAATTTAGATTGTCAAAGACTTCAAATAATACAATAATCAGATAGGTTATAAAATAACAAGGTATGAAATGATTAAAAAAGTAAATGATGGAATGGAAACAAAAGATCAAGGAATAAGAGATTACAAAACGTACAGGCAGATGTTTATAAAGGATCAAGTAGAACTTCCGGAAATAAAAAAAAAAATCTTTGAAATTTAAAAGTAAATGGATATGCTTGACACAGATAAAGAAAGAATTAATGAATTAGAAGAGAGATTTGAAGAAATTACCACAAATGCACCAGGGAAGTTAAAGAATGGAAAATTTGATAGAGACGTTAAAAGACAAGGAAAATATGAAAATGGTTAAGCTACGATTAATCTGTGCTCCTCACAAAAGTAAAAAGACAGTGGGAAAGAGGCCACATTCAGAGAGATAATGCCTGAGACTTTCCAGATCCACATATGCAGGAAAACTGAAAGATTCTAGGCAGGATGAAAGTGCAGGTTGTTGTGAGTTGCATGTATTAATAG